AACCAGTTGAGCATAATTTATCAAAAAAATTAAGTACAAATTCTATTAACATTTTCATATCAATTTTAATTTCTATTTTAAAAATGAAATATATGATTCTTGAGATAATTTTCCAGAAAACTATTAATTTCTTGCAACGAAATATAAAATGTTCAATAGTTTCTTTTTCACGACAAATTTCACATTCGTTACACTGTACGATTTTCCGTATAAAGAGATTGTCTTTAGATGGCAATATTCAATGAATTCATTTGAAATTATATTGTTTGATATTATTGTCTCTTATGTTATTAAATTTGAACTGAAATACATCTTTCCAAACAAATGTTTCTGGTAGGCCTAAAATATTTTGCCAGAAATGGAAACCAATTTTCTATTTTTTCCTTTTTAGCATTAAATTATAGAAACTTTTCGCTGTAGTAAATTCAACGTTTATAACATCTAAAGTTGTCTCAATGTACATTGTTTCATTGAGACTTGAAGCTTTGTTTAAACGTAAATTTTGTGACCACTAGTTTGGGAATGCTTTTTTTAATTTTGACATTTTAATTAAAAACAACAGATATTTTACATCAAAATGGTTATTGAATAGAGAGTTATCTTTCCATGTACCTCATGTAAACATGAAGTGTTTGACAGAAGAGGAAGCCGAGAGCTGTGAAGGTCTGTTACAAGAGACGGAATGCTGGAAAGCATTGTCTGCTATGAATTTAAATAAGTCACCTGGGAGTGACGGTCTAAGTGTTGAATTTTAAAAATGTTTTGGGGAACAGATAAAGGACATGGTGATAAATAGTTTAAACGAAGGGTATGAGAGGCAAGGGCTCTCGTTCACACAAGGTCAATCTATTCTTACTATTTTGTATAAAATGGGCAACAAGGGTTCTCTTGATAATTGGCGACCGATTTATCTCCTTAATATAGACTATAAAATTGCAGCACGTGTTTTGTCAATACGGCTACAACCAAATATGCCAAGTAAAATTTCGGCCGATCAGAGAGGTTTTGTAAAGGGTAGAATGGCAAGTGAAAATATAAGACTTGTACAAGATGTTATTGGTTATTGTTAATTAGCAAATATTGAAGGTATCATTTTACTTTTAGATTTCAAAAAGGCGTTTGATAATGTAAATCACTCATTTCTTATTGAGACATTGAAACGTATGCATTTCAAGGTTTCCTTTATAGGATGGATTAAAGCTTTATACGCATTTTATATTCAAAAGGGCGTTCGTCAAGGTTGCCCAGTATCAGCTTCGTTATTTATATTAGTGGCAGATATATTAGCAAATAAAATTCGAGAAAACAATAAAATAAGAGGGATAAATATTACAACTAAAGATATAGAAGTTCAGAGGTTTAGCGAAGAAAAGATACAAAATTCGCAGATGATACCACATTATTTGTTAATTCAATGGAATCAGTAGATAATGTTTTGAAGGAGTTAGACGATTTTGAATATTTTGCAGGTCCAAAGATTAATTGGAATAAAACAACAGTAATGAAAATGAAAGAATTAGATACGACAAAATATGATATTTAATTTACAGAAGAAACATTTAGGTGTTTACGTTGGTAAAAAGCAGTATGAATTGGGAGGGGAAAGTTGAAAAAATCAATAATGTTCTTAAGACGTGGAACATGAGACGACTGACCTGTTATAGACAAAAATAATAATTATAAAATGTTTGATAATTCCTCAGCTCGTCTATTTAGGCACAGCTAACTCAATGGCTATTCATATATGCAAGGCTTTACATAGGACTATAATTATATACATCTATATGAAATTCTAAACGTGAAAAAGTAAAACGGAATGCTTGTATCAAGTTAGAAAGAGAAGGGGGGGGGGCTTGGTATGATTGATTTGATTTTGAAAGCTAATTCACTTATATTATTTTGGATATATAAGTTTTTTAATGCAGATGATGCAATGTGGAAAACATTATTTTCATTTTGGACTGAAAGAGCTGGCGGGATGCCGTTTTGTTTACAGTATAATTATTGTCATATTAAACACATGAAAATGATATGTAAAAAAAGAAATTTACCAACGTTTTATATGGATTTGCTTTGCACATGGTCAGAAATTCGATATGTAAATAAATTTGAAGTAAAACATATTCCCAATGAAATACTTTGGAATAATAGTAATATTGTAATTGATAATTTCGCGTCGTGGATAAAAAAAGGAATTTTTTAAATCAAACATGTTATAAATCAAGGTACACAAACTGAGCATAGCCAATTTTTGACCCATAATAATGAAATTTTCTTGTCCCAATTAATGCTGTATCGTCTTGTTACCAACTTGCAAGGCCATCTCAACAACGCCATCCATCAAATATCAACCGTTATTCTCGGTTGGGTAGTTCTACTTGGAGGTTCATGGCCTAAATTGTCCCGACACTATTTAGGTATTCCTTTATAGAATTTTCTTGTAAAATAAAATCATTCGACGAAAGGTCAAAACGTTAGTACCATTCAATTAATCTTTGAAAAAAAATACTTCAAAAATTACTGTAAAACTGTCTAGATTCTCATACGAGTTCAATCTACCGTTAAGCTGTAGGCCTTCTAGAGAAGTTGCCCTGGAATTGAATGGTGTAATGATATAAAATGGGTTTTCCTACCTTGCATGTTTGGGATAGCTGGTAGGGCCTATGTATCTCTTTTGCTTCATTCTCTAGCTGCTCTTCTGTTATCTATTTCTCATACATCTACTGTGGTACCCCTTCGTGCACACACCGATCGACCCCCCCCCCCCCTCTTCCTCCCTCCATTTCCCCCTCCCCCTCTCACACTTTCTCCCAAAATGTAATGTGCCAAAAGACAGTAATTTAAAAGTAACAGCAAAGATTTTAGCAGCATTTGGTCTACTAAAGCAGGAGCAGACTATACACAAATTAAAAAAAAAATCAAATAAAAAACACCGAAACAAAAAGATTAGTTTGATGTAATGATCAGCAGTGGCTAAGCTTTACGTTCGTCATAGTATTGCGAAAGAAGAACTTTACGAAGGAAAGGGGAGAAGAAGATAGGGCATGCAGAGGGAAAAGGAGGATGATCCCCTCCACCCCCTCCTCACGTTATGCTTCCACACTAGCTACGCCACTGGTGACTGCATGGGCTATTCACCATCACAGCAAAATACTGGCGCCTATACATTTCCGCCACCGCCACCAATACGCCTGTAAGGTGGTACGGTACAGTACGCGGCACCGCGGTGCCACCTTAATTCCTGACACTACCCCCCCCCCCCCCCGACTCCTGGAACGGAGGGACCATATTAATTCATGTTCCAAAAATCTCCGGTAAAAGGGTTCTTTTCACACAACAAAGTCCGGCTAGAATTAATACACCAAAAAAAATAAAAATTAAAAAATCGGCTCGTATTGACTTTACACAGTGTACCGGACTGCTTTTAAAGGGAGGGAACATCCATACGCATACCCTAAAATAACACTGAGTTGGGGGGGGGGGGGGGTGTGGACCACGCACCGTTGTCTGATTTTTGTTTCTTACCTCCTTTCCTGAATATGAGTGACTATATGATTTTTTTTATTTTACAGATAGAGTTCATACTTTCTCAGAACTTTATCAAGAAGATTAATATCACAATCATTTCCTGAAAAGAGGAAAGAAAATTAATCCAACTTTATTATATCTGCAACTTTGGGCGAATAATATATAGATCTAGGTTGAATTATACTAAAAGAATAGAGAAATAGACCTGGCAGGAAAATTATCACGCTGTCAATGAACTTTAAGAAATATATATATATATATTGGGGTTAAAATTCAGTTTGTTTCTTTCCTTTGTCTTTATTTATCTTTTTCTTGATTTTTCTTTGTCTTTATTTGATTTTGTATTGATTGTTTTTTGTAAATTAGTTTAATTCTAGCAAATCATTTGCAGAAACTATGTGCTACCTAATTTAAACAGAAATAGTACAGAAGAAGCGATTGCAGAATGACTCCATATATAGTTCCGGGGCGGTATTCTGAACATTGTTGTAAGTATTGTGTTATCTTTTGTTGTATCTTCCAGAGATAACACAGCGCTAATATTGTTGTAAGTTGGTATTCTGAACATTGTTTTATCCCTGTGTTATCTCTTGAAGGACCGCCTCTATCTTATCTTTGACCACTGTTGACACGCCCATTTGTATGGACCCTACCAATCAAAATATATTTTATATAAGCATTATGAGTAGGTCAACCAATAGGAGTACTTTATGCTACATCTTCGCGTATACTAATCTTTGGCGTAATTAGTTAATTGAGCGCTTATCATATATGCGCGTCCTCATATGCGCTGTGCATGTGGCACATGGATCATAAAAACAAGTCACGCTTTCAAGAAACATCACAGAGATGAGAGCATTAAAATCGTCATATCCTAGCATGTAATTTCTCAGAAATTTCTCATCTCTGATGTCTCCAGTCAGCACACAACCTTCTTCTAACTTATCTATTGGCACTAAGTTGGTTCTGGGCAAGAAAGATTGCCGCTATCATATTACCACGAAAGATACAACAACCCCCTACCTGTTGTAAATATTGTTGTAAATACCATGCAAGATAAGATAAGATAAAAGATACAACAACTTTCAGAATACCAATTATCTCGACATATTATCTCTCGTGCGCATATGCAAATGAGGATTAAACGCCACTTTATTAATAATACGCACAATTGCAAGCGCACCAAAGTATGAGCGCAGGCGCGACCAATGAGCTGAGAGAAAAGATACAACAAAAGATAACACAAAAGTTACAACAATGTTCAGAATACCAACTTTATCTTATCTTCAAAGATACAACAATATTAGAGATAACACAGGGTTCAGAATACCGCCCCCGTACTTCAAAATTTAAACAAGTAACAATTTTAAGAGTGTACTCTTTTTCTAACTATATAGCACAAAGCTTTTTATACCAGGCCTATTGTAATCTTCTATATTTGGCATGCTAATTGGCTCACATGTTCATGTGTCAAGCTTGCATGGGTCATTGCATAATTATATGAGGTGATTCTCGCGATTTACATCACAAAGGTGGAGGGGAACACTACCGAAAGCAGGGACTAGACTTCTAGATCTATTTATGAATTGTGAATAGATTTTCACAAAATAAGCGTTTCATAAACTGAAAACTGTTACTCATTGAAAATGAGTGGTTTTGTCGGAGATTTAAGTGAGAAGCAATCGAAAGCACTGAATGAGGTAAGTGATCAGACGACAAATTGTCCATCTTCAGTCCCACACGATATTGTTTGTGTAGGCATAGAGCCTAACCATTCTCAATTCAATTTCAATCCCATCTGATTCCGAACTTCCTAATCCTAGAGTTAGACAAAAAGGACTGTAGCTCATTTTGTTTGCCCCCCCCCCCCCTCTTAAAAAAATTACTCTCAGAATATGACCTCGTAAGGAGGTATCAAGAGATAAGGATAGCTTAACTAAAGTTTGAATACAAATATTATCGTTTCATACATTCACAGTCGAAATTAGCACATTTAGCAGACCTTTTTTGTGCATTTTTTCCCCAGTGTTTTGAATGTTGTTTTCTATGTCTTAGACCCCGTTCTCACTCACTTTGAAAGTGGTCTTAGTTAGACCGCTCCAGAGGAACGGGTCTTGAGGAACAATTTGCGAGCGTTCACACTCCGAGCAGTTTTTATGGCTCAAACCGCTCCACGAGTCAAAGTGGTCTTGTTGCTATGGCAGCTCAGGTAGGCGGGTCAATTTTTTCGCGCGCGGAATCCAAACCCTATGTCACCTGATGTCCCGTTCGCGACGCGTCCCGTATACATGTATATGTGTAGTGCCTGCCCGATCGCTCATCGCGCGGAACGTCACTTCCGTTCAAAGTACGCTTTCCGTTCACATTGCACGTTAGAGCGCTCTGGAGCGCTCTTTATAAGATCCGCTCCTCAAGACCACCTCGGAAGGTGGACTTCTGGAGCGGTCCAGAAGTCCGCTTCCTGGACCACTTTGAGCGTTCTCACTCACCTAAGAACCGCTCCTGAGGAGCGGGTCTTAGTTAGAGCGCTCCAGAGCGCTCCAACGAAGTGAGTGAGAACGGGGTCTTATTTGTTGAAAGGGTCTAATCATCCTCATGTCACCCTGTATTCTGTTTCTTATATTACTCCCTTTATTTGGTTGATTGGTTTATTATGTATGATTTTATAATGTAAACACAAAGCAAACAAACAAAAATCTTGCAATTTTTGTGTCTTCATTACAGCTAAAATCTAGATTAGATGGAGTTGATCTTCCCGAACCAGATGATGTTAATATTGATTCCTACCTCTTAAAATGGCTCAGGGGTAAGTCTTGATTATTAATCCCATTCCTTTTTTGTTAATACTCACATTTAATGATGATTATGTTGCTAAATGTCAAAATGTATTTGTTTCTATGTTGCTTTTACATTGTTTTTCATTTGTGAATTTTAGTCAGTTCATGTAGATGTTTTGTTTTGGAGAAATTCTTGACATAAGAAAGTGATCAATGTATTTTTTTGAGGCATACGTGCTGGAATATATTATATAGGTATACTGTATGGTCACAAATAACATACTTTAATATTTAGTAGCACACAGTTAACAAGTATCCTATATTTTAGATGAGCTGCATGCTTATTAGCAAGAGAGATGATCAGAAAATATCATCATCATCATCATCATCTAGATACGGGAGTGTAGGATATCCTGTAGGTCTCCCGGTCAGATCACTTGGTACATTAGTAAAGGTCTATAAATCAGTGCATGTGTGGATGTCAGACTATGCTATATAACAATGTGTTTGTCTGACCAAAAAGAATCCAAGCTGTTACTAAACCGTAACGATTTCTTTTTGTTACTTATTACCCTACAGCTCGTCAATTTAATGTTGAACAAGCAGAACATATGCTAAGAAATGTAAGTACTACATGTTAGTATAGCCTTTAAAAGTTGATGGTATTTTGATACCAAGGTACAATATACACATATTAGGGAAAACACAATTTATCTTCAAGAATAATGCATTGAACGAAAACTTATGATTACAAGTGTGTCGAAATTACAGATAGCATATCATCTTTTTATTAATACCATGCAGGAATATATTTTGAAGCTGAGCATTGAAATTGAAATAAGATAAATTACATGTGGCCATCCACCGATAATTTTGTGCAAGAATAAATTCCATTTTGTTTTGGCACTGACCTTTTCAATTCAAATACATTGCACGTCAGATTTCACTTCCAAATATAATTCAGCTACTGCTATCTGTTCATTGTTTTTCTAAACCTAAGCAGATTTTATATGATACTTTCAATCACATGAATCGTGATATTTTTTCTTGTCGGTTGTCACACCGTTTATATCACGTTTAAAGCTCAACATTTTTCAGATTGTTTCTTTCTCTTTACTTTCAGCATTTATCATTCAGGGAAAAGTGGAACGTGCAATCGCTGCTAGACAATTGGCATCCACCCGAGGTATACACAAAATCTTGTCTGCCATTTTTTGAAATTTGCTATCCTTTTTTAAGAAGATATTTGTTATAGATGCCATTTAACACTGAAAATCATCTGTTTTGGAACCAGAAGGGCAGTAACTGATTTCAATTAACCCGCTGCCTGCTGAATTAACTAATTCTCATAGGCTTAACACAGGGACCACCCGGTTCCAGTAAGCAATGGGTTAAAGGCCCACTGCACTACTGGTAGCTACTTGCGCCCTCTATATAACGAACAATGTCTAATCGGTAACCATTGGTCCCCCATGATCCTCTTTTTCTTATGTTAACTGAGAGCTGAGTTGATGAGATAGCCACCTGTCCAGTGACCTTGCAGGGCGCTCTAATCCCTCCTGTAAACTATGGCAGATAAGCTTTAAACAAAGTTGATGACCTTCAAGCTCCAAAAAGACAAAATGACATGGTACCCCCATACAAGTCTAAACAAATTAGAAAAAAGCACTAAATGAATTATTTCCTTAGAGATTTGAGATTGGAGATAATTGCATGTAGAAAGGCAATACATTGTATATAGCTTTGCCATCACAATTGTTTCATGAAAGGATGACCTTTGTTTGAAACATTGAAAAAATTGTTCAGTATTTGTTCACAATTATAGTTAGATGTTACTAATCAAAAGTGAAAGTAAGTGGACCAAATATAAATAGCTCCATAAAAGTTTGATGGTATAGGTTAATGAGTTGTTTCAGGATTAAAATTTGTATAAGAAAAAGAGTTTGGCCCAAGATGTAAATGAATAATTTGAATTGCTAAATTGATGATTAAGCCATATTGTCCCAGAGCAAGTTAACAATCGCTTAAAAATTGAGATTTAATGAGCTAGCTATACAATGTAGAAAAGTATTAATTGTGAATATAATTTTATCATTTGTAACTGTCATTATCGTTGTACAGGTGCTGGACAAATACATGGTCGGAGGCTTGTGCGGGTTCGACAAAGAGGGCTCACCTGTTTGGTACGAGCCGTTTGGTTACTTTGATCCGAGGGGTGTGGTTCTGTCGAGTACGGGAAATGACCTGACGAAAATGAAGATCCAGATATGTGAAGAAATCCTCTCTCAGCTCAGGTCACAGACAAAGAAGGTGAGAGATCATGAGTTTGCAAATCTCAAAAGGAGCAACAGATATCTTGCAAATGATTACACAAACTCTAAAACCAAAACTATATTGCAATGTTGTAATTGTCAGCCAATTTGATGGCAAGAAACTTTCCAAATTCACTAAAAATTACTGTTGTGTCAGTTTGTGATTCAGTCTTTTTGCAGCATGAGAGTTTGGCTAATCTTGACTAACGTAATGAACTTTGCAAAATATTACACGCAACTGTAAATTTCTGGTTGCACAGTAAAGGCTTTTTCAGATACCGGTAAGCTGCAGTACTAAACCACCACAATTAACAAAAAAAAACACTTCGGGGGTGGGGGGGGGGGAGGAGGAGGTATAACTGGATGAAAAGTGTCACAAAAAAGGTCGTACACATATTCACTGAACTCTGTGTCATAAGACACATAAATGTGAAGCGAATTACACTTTACGTCGTAAAAGGACATTTGCGGTTTTCCCGCTTCATATCTGATCTCGGTATTAACAAAATTTATGAGTTGCAGGCTGTGGAATGGTCATTTTCTTTGCATCAGTTTCTTGATCTATAGTCATGGCTGTTCAGATTCATGGCTTTCATCTATACAACATGCATGTAGATGTTCTGAATCATTTCTTTAATTGTTTATCTATTTCATATATACAGAGCAAAATAATGTATACTTACTGGGCCCTTTTTATTTATTTTTTTGTCCCCAAAATTTGACCGGTCGATAGTTTGTTCTGTTGGGGGGGGGGGGGGGGGGGGGTAAAGTCACCTTTTTTGGTCACCCATTAGCACAATTTTTTTTTTATAAATATTTTTTTTTTTTAAATGAGGGGGGAGGGGGGGGGGGGGAGGGGTTTTCATCCCAAACCCACACACAGAAAAAAATTGAGATGGGGGGAGGGGGGGGGGGGGTTCGACCCCCAAACCCCTCCCCTGCGTACGCACCTGGTTGTGATGCAGTAATTCTAAGTGATTTTTTAAAGTGTTGATAAATACTCCTTCTATAGCTAGGGAAGCCGATAGACAGGATGGTGATTGTGTTTGACTTGGAGAAAGCAGGTCTCTCCCACATCTGGAAGCCATTCATCGATCGATACAACCTCATCCTGCAAATATTTGAAGCCCACTACCCAGAAATGCTCAAAAAGTGCTTTGTGATCAATGGTAAGTAAGTTCTATTGTAATCAGCAGATGGAAATTTTTTATTTTTTAACATACCGGTAGTACAATATAATATTCTACTGCTGACAGTACATTTTGGTTTTTAATCTTCAAGCTAACAAAAAGGAGCAAATAGAGAGAGACAGGGTAGTGCAAAAAGACAAGTAATGGCTAAAATTGTGGGAGTTGACATTTCCTGTTTTCTGTGAACTTGGTGTTGCTCATGGGGAATATTTTGTATATGATTTCTGTCAAATGGAATGCTCCCCAGGGAGTTGAGATTGTGCACACAGTGTGTGCGGGCAAGCACTGAATCCAACGACCGGGGTAATAGTATATTTGTAAAGCGCTTAGAGACATTGTATTACGCGCTATATAAAAGCTACATATTATTATTATTATAATTATTATTTACATTGAATTCTCTAAAAACGTACTCCGGGTGCTGACATGTGCAAGGGAAAGCATTTTGAGATATACATGGTACAAAAATAATGGCTGACATGTTAGAAACTATAGTAAAACCGGAAATTCGCATCCATGAAATGGTCGTAAATTTTTATATGAGGAAACTTCTCGCTGCCAGTCATAAGTGACAACATTGAATACTAGCAATTCAGAAAATTTCTTGCCACGAAAATGGCTGTCATATACGTGTATAATCTGCTGAAGTTCTGGTTTTACAAGCATAGATTGAAGAGATGTTTTTATTTTGTCTCTGTTATTATGTACATCTAGCTCAGGCTTTCTTCTCGTTCGGTTTTGATTGGAATGATCATGAATTTTTATATATGCAAACTTCTTGATGTGAGTCACACAACATTAGAAACTTGCAATTAAAAAAGTTTCTTAACGAGCAAATGGCTGTCACATACATATAAAAGCATAATCTACTGAAGTTTCTGGTTTTACAAGCAGAGATTGAAGAAATGTTTTTATTTTTGTCTCTGTTATTATGTACATCTAGCTCCAGCTTTCTTCTCCATTGGTTTCAACTTGATCAAGAAATTCCTGAGTGAAGCTACCAAGAATAAAGTTGTTGTTCTTGGAGGTAAGATACATCAACAAACATTTAAAGATGGATCCAGTAGTAGTAGTAGTGGTAGTGGTAGTGGTGGGGGGGGGGGGGGGGTAGTGGTAGTAGTAGTGATGATGGTGGTGGTAGTGGAGGGTAACCTCGCTACATAGGGACCGCTATCCATAACATGTAACTTCCTATACGTGAAGGACCGCTATTCATAATTCGCAAAGAGGGTCACTATTCATAAACATGAAGAAGGGGCGCCATTCTTAATTTATATTGAGGGTCACTACTCGTAAAGACCACTATTCATAATACGAAACGAGGGTCGCTGTTCATAATATGAGAAGAGATTGAATCGCGATTCTCTACTCGTATTATGAATAGGGACCCTCTTTGCGAATTATGAATAGCGGTCCTTCACGTATAGGAAGTTACATGTTATGGATAGCGGTCCTTATGACTAGCGAGGTAAAGAATATGCATTATGATCATGTGGCTGGAAACGTGGTCAGGGGTTGGTGAAGAGATGCTCAAAGACTTTTTTGACAAATGACTTGTTCTTTACCAGTATGTGCTGAATTTATACATGCACCTTATCCTGTAGAATCATAGGTAGAAATTAATGTAAATTTCAGTGGGGTAAATATACAATGGTATTGTAATAAGAATGTGAAACTGAAGTGATGAAACTATTTTTACTGCCTCCATTTACCCATGCAAGGTGGACTTGCTTTGTATGCAAAACCGTATGCAGTTATCACAGCGAACTATTAAGATAGTGATGTGAATACTTTTAGGAGCATAGTATGTTTAACATTGTCATTAGTGTTATCATGTTTGTACACATCCTGGATGTAGTGTATTATAGTTTTTACTGTGGCCTCTGGAAGGTTGATTAATGCCTTGTTCACACACAATGGGGGAAAAACGGGAAAAACCCCACATCTGCAAATAAAATTATTTACGCATGGTGCAATTCACATTTCTTAATCTTATATTATTATTAAACATGCAGATAAGTGCATATTCTAAGGGGCTGTTGTTGCATGCAGCTACATTTTCTTGCTCCTAACAGTGAAATACAAAGCACATACAATGATACATACATTAAATGTGTAGGAAGATTGAGATTGTGATTCTAGGATAGTATTGCTTTGATGTCTACAGGTGAAAATGTCATTCTACATGGCTACATATATAGGGATTTTTTTTTTCGTGGCGATTCTGGCAAGTTTGCACCCTTTCTAGTAGTGTAATTTTACTATGTGAGTGCTATTTCTAAATGTGATGTCAAAGTTCATTAACGAGACAAGTGCCTCTTATATATTATATACAATACCATGAGGGTCATTTGTTGAACAACTGTCTGCATGCCATACTACTATCAAGTATTTGTTCAGCGATAGCTTGCTTGCAAAGCAATCAGTGTATAGATATGTTTCTTTCTTCATACCGGTAGTCGGCCTAGTCGATGTTCAATAATGCATGTACAAGTGCTAAATTTTACCCTGAACACATGAAACAATTAAACAAAAAAAAATATAGTTATTGTGAATGAACTAAAAACAGCAGTTTAGATGGGATACCTGTATATGGTTATACAAAATGTATGAAGGGTTTTCTGTTCAAATAAATATACATTTTGTTTTTCTTTTTTCTCCAGGGAATTATCAGGATGTATTAAAAGAAGCGATAGGTGAAGACTTGCCTGCTCATTTTGGTGGTACAGTATGTGACCCAGATGGTGACCCCCGCTGCGTGTCAAAGGTGAGAGGTCATACAGCTTACAAATCTCTTCACCCCTTCATGACTTAACCAGAGAACACTGGTGTTCAAATCCACAGGAAATGTTTGTTTTAAGTTAGAAAAGTAACATTGTATCCAATGTGTTAGTTTTGGAACAAAACTGTAACATCACCTTTTGTACCCCACATTGTGCATCTCAGTACAGCCATAATCAGAACTCAAAATCTTGGGATATGACCGAGCTACATAGATACATCACATAATTTATTGTTTCAACATAAATCACAATTTTACCCCATACACTCTCTTGTCAGTTAATTGTAAAAATTATTAGTTATTTTGAGCCAGCAGGCCTGGCAAGACTAAAAAAAAGTACATGTATACCAAGTTAATAGTCAACAAGATATTGTTTAATGATGAAACCGTTAATAAATGATAAGGATGATGACGATGATGATGATAATATTGACTTTTGTTTCACACATTGCCATTGCTTCTACGCCTCTCAGTTGCATTTATTTCAATTTTTATTTAAAAAATGAGAGAATTTGTCTGTTTGATAATTTATTCACATTCTAGATTCGTTTTGGTGGAAAGGTGCCTGAATCGTTCTACCTGAAGGATGAGTTCATGCATGAAGGCAGACTGACCGAGGTCAATATAGGTCATGGGTCAAACTTAGAGCTTACGTACGATGTCAAGGAGGAAGGGCATGTACTCAAGTAAGAGCAACATATTCATCTGCTATCTCTTCTACAAGCTTTGCATTCTCACCTCTAATGTTAATTAAATTTTGGAAAAGATTTTAATGGAGAAATAAACCATTTATTACTTAATGTGCAGTTTCATAAAGCTTACAACTAAATATCTAAACAGCATGAAAGAAAGCAGTATCAGCAAGTCTGTATGTGTGTATGAATACTTGGATCTATGTGATGAAAATCATGTTTCAGTGCATATTCATTGATGCTCTTTTTTAACGGTACAGTTTCCTAGCTTATCCTTTTGTTACATGCTTGTGCATAAATATTTTCCTACTTGCATATTTCAGTTATTTTAAGCTAAAATGATTAATGATTATAAGGGATTTCTGTCTTTCCTCTTTCTTTCAACATACGTATGGCAAATGTATCTAAAATACAGCATCAAATTTCCATGGCTACTGGTTCATATAGTGAAAATTCATTCTCTAAAGCAATAGTTTGCTCAATGCTTGTTGTTTCGGTTATACTGTTTATCTTAATACTCTATATTAATAATGCATCATGGCATTTTAGATAATGATCAGAATTCATTTGCAAGTACCTTTTAAATACATATATTTGTTTTGGTGTAATTCTGTATAAAGGTGGGAGTTTATGACAAGACATAACAACATTGGTTTTGGAGTGTTCTACCAGCCATCCCCAGATACCAAGAGAGCGCACTGGGAGGAGGTGGTGGAGAGAACAAGATGCTCATGTCATCTCGTACCGGAGATTGGAGGATACTCTTGTGAGAAGCTGGGAACGTGTAAGAATTAATATTCAAATTAATACTGTATTTGTCTGGTTATGCCTACATGTACAGTACATGTCATGCTGCCTCTATGTCGCTTGCTCCATTTCTCTCTGTCTCTATCTCTTTATTGGTGGTCTCTTCTTCTCTGTCTCTCTTGGTTTGACTTTACCTCAACTTTTGACACACCCTGACCATTCCTCTCTCTCTCTCTCTCTCTCTCTCTCTCTCTCTCTGTTTATCTATATGTACTTCTGTTTCTCTGTATATGTCGTGTCTGTCTGTCTTTTTTAATCTGCCTGTATCTGCCTCTGTCTCTCTCTATGCTTCTCTGTCTGTCTCTCTCTGTATATATATATATATATATATATATATATATCTCCATGTAGCTATCCATCTTCTCTCTTCTTATATCTTTCGTTTTTTTTCTTCTATATTTCTGTTTTTCTTTCTATCATTACTATCTTTCTATCCTTCTACATTTACATATTTTTTTCCTATCTCTATTTCTTACTAGATCTTTGTCTTCTGTCTTTCTGTGTACTTGCTATTATAGTGCTTCTATTTGATGATTGTCTCACACTCATGTTTCATATTTGATAAAATTGTGTTAAATGATTGAATAGACATTTTTATCTTCAATGATAAAACTTACCAGTTTGCATAAATGTATTAATAAGTATGTCTAGGAAATACAGTTTCTATTAGTTGGACATCAAAGTATCTGAAACCATAATTGTCTTGTGAAGGTATCTTGTTTATGATCACACCTATTGGTTGTTTGTTTATTTTTCAGATATTGTCCAGTTTGACAACAGTTTCAGCTGGATGAGAGGTAAGAAGGTTCTGTACCTCATCGAGATACAGAAGGAAGGGGACCATGAAAGCTAGAAGGTCTCAACTCCATCATAGCCATCATGGGATGGAAGTATTACCCATGTACCTCAAATAGCACACGATAGAGCTGGAAGAAAATGAACTCCTGAATGCTAAAAGGTCTCTAGTCCATCATGTTTAATATACAAATACTGCTAGAATATACCTCAAGCAACATAAAGATACCCAGTTCTGCTGACAATCAGAAAGGCATTAATCCATGATAGCTAGAGGGTCTCAACTCCATCATTGCCAACATGGGATGGAACTATCACCCATGTACCTCAAATAGCACAAGATACACGATTCGGTTTAGAGCCAGAAGAACATATGAGAACTAGAAGGTATCAAGTCCATCATTGCCATCATGGTTAACAAATACAAGTACTGCTAGAATATACCTCTAGCAACGTAAAGATATAAAATTCTGCTGACAATCAGAAGGGTATTAATCCATGAGAGCTAGAAGGTGTCACATCCATGTATGCCAGCATGTACTTCAGTCAAGCAATATATACAGTACATGTACATGTAATTAAGATACAAGATTCTGCTAAAAGCCAGAAAGGTTATAAACTGACGAGAGCTACATGTAGAGGCCCTCAAGTCCATCATTGCCAACTTGGGTTAGAAGTACCACTAGCTTATATATTGTAAGTAACAACAAATACTAGATTCTGCTGAGAGCCACATGGGCATTAACTGATGAGTGCTAGAAGGTCTCTAGCCCATCATTGCCAACATGGAATATAAGTGCCACCACAGCCTGTACCTCCAGTATAACCAAGATAACTAATATTTTATGATGAGAAGCAGAAGGGCTTTGACATGCTTCCTTTCTTACAGATTAAATGCCCTCCTATCTTTCAACAAACTACATATATGTATGAAATACATGTAGAACATCCTTTATGCATGTATTAAAACATTCTTTATACATGTATTACATATTGCCATTTCCCTTTTTGCACAAAACTTTTCTGCTGTTGGTAAAACGAGAAAGTTACATTATTTTTTTAAGTATACTTTTAAAAACACTCGTTATTGAAATGTCTGTGTAATATACACTGCCAAATATATTCCAATAAATGATTATCAGATATAGCCAAACAATAACAACTCTACATTTGGATACAGACTGAGTGCACATTGCATATTGATTGGTTTTACTCATTGTTGAACACCAACAGATGTTAGCCCACCGTAAATTGTAGCCAGATTTGTGTGAATGAAAGGTTTTGTTTTATGTAGCCTGATCAATTTAGTAGTAGTATATACATACAGTCTAATGTACTTTATTGACCACATGTGTTGATAGACCACCCTTGAGAGAGATGCTAAAGGAACCTGTTCATAAAGACCACCTGGCTATATTGACTGCATTTCTTGTCACTGCTGAGCGGTCTTTATGCACAGGTTTCACTGTATCACAAGTAATCAAAAGGACCCTGAACACAACAAATATCTGCCTATAAAGACCACTTTTCTTGTCTCTCTTTGAGTGGTCTTTATATACAGGTTCCATAGTAGCTTTTTCTGAATCCTGATTAGTTTTGCCCCTATAAATTTGAACAAATGCCTCTTATGTCGAAGTGCCACAGCTCGAAATCACTAAGCTACCGGTACTTGACAGTCTTATTTCTATATAAAACTTGAAGGATGTGTTTGTGTGTAATTGGGTTTTTACAGATGTGTATCAATTAGATATGATTATTTACGTCTGGGGACCGACTTTTAACGTCACCATCCAAAAGACGTGACTCAGTTTGGAACCTGCGTCCTCGGCTGAATCAGTTTGTAACTTCCATTTTTAGCTGGATTACAGGCGCACGCCACAATGCACCGTCAATATGATTTCAGTAAGGGTTTCTTCTTATCTCCTTTTATACACCAGATTGAGTTGGTAGAATGGAAGACAGAAGTTGAAAGGCTTCTAATCTATTAAGACTTGGATACTTTTCAGGTAAACTCTTTACTGGAGATGTTAACTAACCCTTTCTGTGTCATGGGGGACGAATTTTCTGCCAAGAATTGTCATGATGTGCAATAAAATTTGTTGTAGTCAAGTGTGATATTTAATCCATTATTTCTCATTTTCTGTTATAAAAAAGTATTTGTCTACAAAAGTTCTATTTTTAGAAAAAAAATGCAAACACAACCAAAATAATTCCCTATCTTTCATCAAAATGTTGGTAATTCTTTCCCAAGTTCCAAAGGGAAATTTGTCACAAAGTAGTTTTAAGCTCATCTTCCCAAAAATGGTACCAGACTTGTGACATCTTTTCCCACTTTTGTGAGATATTGATCGATATATCGCCGTTTCTTGTGTTACTTTACCAGACATGTACATATAGCGTTAAGCTTTGTGTGACCAAATATTTTTTCCATAGTACTTACTACTTTTCAATATTGATGTGTACATAACTACTCTGTTTTTTATGTGGATATAATCTTGCCCAAAGTGAGTTTTTGATGCCTTTCGTGATGGTTTTGGTTGTTTATGGTGCAGACATTCTTTCTTTTATATGGCATTATATAATGTGATATTGTATGCAAATATAAATGTTTTATTCCATTGTATTTTATTTTCATAGTTAGAATCTTCCTTATATAATCGCTTTTAATACACATAAATACTATGAAAAAAAATGTGTACCTAAATCTTACGTAAAATTTCTTTGAAAGACAGTCATATCTTATTTATGTGTACATGTCTTTACATGTATATGTAAAGAAAGGTGCTTTTCAATTTATTGCATATTTCACAATTACACATAAATTCTTTTGAAACATAGTTCACTCTGTCATTTACCCCCCCCCCCCCCTTAAAAAAATCCTGGATCCACCATCACCATTGATTTACAGTGGGTAGGCTGTCTGTTTTTTGTTCTTTCAGATTTTGGGGTTGTACGGTTGTGTTTATTCATACATTTTTTAACTGTGGCCGATTTAAACTGCTAATTATTGACAATAGAACTTGTAAATGGAATTTCTACTTGTAGCTTTAAAATTGTATGTACTGTCCATTCACTGGAAACGCCCCTTTACCTCTTTGGATATTTTTAAATGTGTATGTCTTTCTTCTATTCTATATCCATATCGATATAATATATTATTACCTATACATGGTAATTTTACCATGCAATGAAAACAACTTTATTTATACAAATTGGGGTCAATAAACTGAGCCCAATACAGGTTGGCCCCATTCAACACCTGGGAAATTCCAGGCTGCTGTATCGCCACAAAGTTTGAGCAGACTATTATGCTGCGCTGTAGCAGTGTTTATAAACCATACAGTACCCTTTTGTGATTCCCAAAGAGATGGGTAATAATTGACTAGCTTATGTTTCGGGAGATACAAGGATATATTGCCCTTGCTGAAACCATATTGACCTTGTCTTCGACTCGGGTCAATATGATTTCAGTAAGGGCAATATTTCCTGGTAAATATATAAATATCAAGAGTATTACTACATGTATTTTGATAACATTTGCTGCAGGTATAATGAATATTCTATATATTTAAGTGGTATATGAATTGTGCAATACACACATTTTTATACCTCGGTTTCTTTTGAATGCCAAAGAAGATTGTATCTTTGTGTCTGTGAAGAAATATATCTAACTTTTAATGTTCAGGAAAGATTTGTGTATACTGGTAGTAATGTAGTTAGATGGGAACAATAATAAATGTCTGTCAACAAATGTCTGGTTGTATTCATTGAATATTAAAGAAAACTGTTAGAATTGAAAAAGAGTAATCATTCAGGAGAGAGAGGAGAGAGAGCAGAGAGAGAGAGCAGAGAGAGAGAGAAAGAGAGAGGAGAGAGAGCAGAGAGAGACGAAAGAAAGCAGAGGAGAGGAGAGACGAAAGAGAGGAGAGAGTGATAAGAGAGAGACGAAAGAGAGCAGAGAGAAAGAGAGACGACAGAGAGAGAGAGAGAGAGAGAGAGTGAGAAGAGAGAGAGAGAGGAGAGAGACGAAAGAGCACAGAGAGAGAAGAGAAAGGGAGGAGAGAGTGAAAAGAGAGAGGAGAGAGATGAAAGAGAGAGGAGAGAGATGAAAGAGAGCAGAGAGAGAGTGAGGAGAGATGTTGAACTCTGTTGAAATAGAAACACCCTAATTTCATCAGATAGTCTGAAATACATAAACACAAAAAACACTGCTAATAAGCACTCTAACTTTCGTTTTATTGTAGATATATATATATTTTTTCTGTCAAACAATAATATAAAGTACTTTTAAACAGTTTGTACAAAAATTCTCCAGAATACACAAACATGATTTGGTCAGTGAATACAAATATCACAGATACATTATGTTAAGAAATACTAGTTTTCTGCATACACTTACAAAAAATATTCTTGGACTACTCCTGTATAATGAAGTACATGTACTTGATTTTTTTTCTTCTTGTACTGTTGGTACTTTCCCAGCCCCTGCTTGACCAAGCATTAATTGTGCAGCCCCATGCAACCATACACTAACTTTCCAATTTCTTGTGGGACCATGCCCACTACACTTTGCATAAGTCCAACGAGAAAGTTAGAGAGACAATGGAGTTAATTATATAGAGAAACATGATCACCTGATCACAATTGTGAAAAGAAGACGGCTACAGTGGTTTGGGCATGAAACTATATGGAAGAATAGCTTGGCAAACATCATCTTCTAGAACTAATGAGAGAAGAAAAAGAGGAAGACCAACTAGGACATGGGCTGATCACATCAAGCAGTGAACGGGAATGTCATTTCAGCAACTAAATAGGACAGCTGAAGACAGAAAGTTATAGAGAACCTTTGACACTAAGTCCATATCACTGTCGCCCTAACGGCCTCCAAGCTATGGGATATAGATAAATGGATAAATACCGTAGATAGATCCACTAACCTTTATTTATAAAGGTTGCATGTATCGTTGTCAAATGGAAAAAAGTTCATAAGTGCGCCTTGACATACATATAATTGAATGATTAATCATAAGTACGTTCTGCATATCCTTGAGAGCCAGAAAGGTATTTACTCACAGTATGTTGCATTGAGTTTAACGCACTTCTGACTCAACAGTCATGGTCAATAATTGATATCCTAGCTTTGAATAAAACTTTGGTCGTGATCAAACATTGCTAACATATAAAAATATATGTGAAGAAAATATTGTGCAAGGAATAACTCACATAGTTTGCTGTGCCAGCATGTAACTTAACGAGTGGAGTAGATTTTCATAAAATTATTCTTTTTTGGAAAAAATCTATAACAATGAATTTAGAACCAGTGACAGTTACAATTGTCTAACAATGATTGACATCCATTTGTACCAGCATGATCAAGTACCCACAAAGCATTCAACATGATAAACAAAATGTGTAAATATATTAACACTGTCCTGTGGCAATTGGGTTGAAAACTAAGCTATGATGAATTTACTGCATTTGCCTATAAATTACGAATAACAAATTTTACTTACCTATAAAAAAATATATATATGTGTACAAAGAGATGGAAATGCCATGCTGGCTACACTGTTATTATGCCTCAACACAAGAAATAAGTATCAGCTGATAATTGTTTAGAACAGTAATAACAACTTCAAATTTAAAATTCATGAGATTTCTCGAAATTAATTGAATATTGCCTCCAGCAACTGCCAAAACGTGGTAGTACATGTATCCCCAACTTTGTCAAACAACAAAAGGCAGCATGTTTTAAACAGAGATTATCAGAAGATAATAACTTTCAATTCTAATGCACAAACAGTCATCATTAAATTTACTTTTTTTTAAATTTCAGTTATTAGAATGTGGCAGGTATTTTGGGAAGTGATCTTTGGATCTTCTGCGATGAATATAAATGAACAAAAATGAGAAGAAAGAGAAGGAAAGGTGAAAGAGAGGGAGAAAGAGAGAGAAGAAAAAAAGAAGGAAGTACTGTACAATATATCATCAAGGTATAAAAAATAATTTGAATTCATGAGTGAATACATACTTTCACAGAAATTTATCATTGCAAAATTAATTCAACTTTCCATATTCTCAAATTTCAGTAGGCATTGGTAACTCATGATGTCTTCAGAAAACATCTCGTCCATCGAACAAGAGATATCAATCACCTTAAACATGTACGTGAACTTTGGCAAATCACTGTTTCAAATCTACTTATGGTAAAATACTACAAAAATTACAACCTTATTCATCAAGTCTGAATTAACGTCACTATAAACAATTAAGATACAGACAAGCCTCACATGATTCTCGGCAAGGCAGTAAGATCCAAAGTTAAGCCCTGCTCACACACGATGCCGTAAACTCGCTTTAAAAAAAAAGAAATCTGCAGCAAAAATACAACCACTTTACTTGGAAATGAATAGTAATCTGGGTAATTTTTTTTTAAAGCTACATCATCCTAAATGCAACAAAGGCCACTACACAAACTCACTTAAATCTAAATGTATCTATACATTTTGAAGATACAGAAATATGACGCAAACTACCCTTTTCAAAATATTTTACTGCAGTTTTTTGTTTGTTTTTGTGGCAGTTTACTAGTCATATGTGAATGAGGCTATAGAATATACAATTTATATTGCTAACAAATAAGCAAGGTGACAATCATTCGTTTCAATTATTTAAAGAAGTACTAGGATTTGAATACGATTCAAGGCACTATATTAGATTAAATGCCCCAATTAATTACTATTCAACATCTTAATTATAATGCAGAATATTCATGAAAATAGTCCTAAACTGAGTTGTAAAAGGAAGTGTAACAGAAAAAATGGAATGAATGAATTTTAGAATACAATAGAACAAAGAGTACTGACTCAAGAAGTGCTAAGTACAGGTTTGAATATAATAAATATACACTGTAGTATGATGACATATATAACTGGGGCAGAGAAGAAACTATATGCTACGTTTATTAGAAGCCATCTTTAAGAACTTGCTTCATGTCCACAACTACTCCTTCTTGCTTTCAAAGCAACAATATATACCTACATGTGCTTTAAATAATATAAGTAAGTTTATAAACTGGATCATGCACAGTACTGTCAAAATGTTTGAAACTTTGGTCATCTCTGGATCTCTTCTCTATTACAAAACAACATGGACACTATCTTGACTTACAAACTTGTGAATTGCAAACTGCAGCCATTTTTGAGGATTGCAAAAATTCAGTGTTGTGTCAGTTGCGATTAAAACATTACGAAGCAGGAAACTTTTTTCAATCTCAACAACTGGTAAAATTGGATGAAATTTTCATGATTGTAAAAATGTTGTGGTTTTACAGCGCACTATTAGATCATTTTTTGACAGTTTGAGTTAAACAGTATTCAGTGAGAGAGAGAGAGCAGAATATCCTATTGAAGGTCATGTTGTAAACAAAATTTGCACAATCTTTGTGACACTATTCTATTTTTTGAAGACTTCCTTGAATTAAAACCGATAACTAACATAGCTCCAGCACATATATCCCAATGTATCATGCATCGTGATTGCTTTCCAATGGATAGGATGTAAACAAATTATAGCTAATCTTACAATAAACAAACGTTCTAAAAGCTTTATTTGTGCAATAAAGTACGATGGGAGTCTTAGATGGAAGTTGTCAAAGAGCATATTACAAAATGTCATATACCAAAGTTTTCTAATTCTACATCTACACAAACTTGAATTTGGTTGTCTACAAAAATATACTGTGTACAAAGTCGAAAGCTTGGTGCTGTGAAGAAAAGGCCCTATAATATATCTCTACTATTGTGATTCAACCTCTCGGAATACTTGAGACATTGTTCCTAGCTCGCCTCTTTACTCCATAGACAACATAGATTTGTAGCATCCCATAACGAGCATGTGAGTTCCTTGCAGCAACAGACAACCGACAAGTCTTTAACGACTTGAAATATACCAATATCCTGCAAAATATAGATGCTTTTCAATTTTTGCTGGCGTTGCGAGGGTTAATCCATTCCAGGGTCCTCGCCGGTACAAATTACCCTTGGTGCCAATGCCACATGTGAGGGATTTCGGAAAAGAAATATTGAGTGTAAAGTTTCCCCGGCAAGGGTAATATATATGTCATGATTGGCAATGCATACACCATGTACATACTTTTTAACCCGCTGACTGCAGGATTCTCTTTTCCTCATAGGCTCCCTACAGGGTCCGGCTGATTCACGCAGACAATGGGTGAACCAGTATAATATTGCTCCAATCATCCTGAAGCAATCCCCTGGTACTCTGCAAGACCACTGTCACTCAATCAGGACCGAGGCTAAACACCGTCCTGCGGAGAAGCCTTAGAGCACCGATGTGTACAATGTTGCTATAAGGTCACAAACTTTGATATCCCCCTGTGAATTTTTTTACTGTTTTCTGAGGACAGAAGGAAGAAAAAAATATGTATTTAAGCAAATGAATGGAGAATATTTATTTATACATTCATGAGCACATAAAGCAAAGCTGTTTCTTGTGAGCTGGTAACTGATATTCATTTATTTATAAAAGGGACAGTGCCATTTAACCCAATAATGATACTTATAATGAAAAAGATAACAATAACTTTAACTTTAATGATACTTTAACTTTAACAAAATTTAAAGTGTATGTCTTAACTATGACTATAAGTATGACTGGTTGCCAAAACTGGTCTCCTTGAACTACTGAGACACAGGCAAAGTAGGTTTCATCTTATTGATTCTTTGCAAATGAGCCTTCAGCATAAATATTCTCATCTCAACATCATTTTTATATCTTTACTACAAAAACTTTTGAAGACTGATCTTGGGAACACTTAAGATATTTGTAATCCTTATTAGGCAAATTTGACCAGCCCTTAGCTTTGCAAGTATTAATGCGTTAGTGTACTTGTTAACACTACGGTATCTGACATCGACAGTGTGCTTTTAAAAATGTAAAAGGATTATGTTGCGAACTGAAAGACAACAAATTGACAGCTAAACTTTACATCCCCTATTTTGGAATAACAATAAGAAATTGTAAACAAAGTTTTCATTTTGGTTGCAAATCTAGGAACCTACAGTACATTACCATGTGTGTGATTATGCCATTTAACTCTGTTAAAGCCAAGTACATCTTGTTTGGGGCAATATACACTTGCATCTTTTGCAATTATCAAAAGAAAAAAAATCAGCAACACATATCATATTTATCGTTCATGCTAGAAGGGCACTCACGGCTAGAAATCTACATATCAAATGTGGCATCCAATTATTCCATGTTGTGATTCAATTATATCACTGTACCTTACACAATTTTCTAGACCACTCACAACCATTTCTTGCTAACTTTAGAGAAATTTCTACAGTAAAGGCTTGTTCAAATTTGGTGCAGTAAACCGCCACAAAAAAGTTGCTGCATTTTATTTGACATAAAAATGAATGGCAACTGAGCCCAACAAAGGAATCACGTATATTCACTGAGCTCTGTGTTATATGATACAGAAATCTGAAACATATTACACTTGACTTCATAAAAAAACGCTGCGGTTTTAATAGCCACCTCATATCTGAACGAGCCTTAAAGAGTACAATCTTTTGCAGGGTGTGACAGACAAAACATTGAGCAGAGTCTGTAAGCTAATTGAGGTGAATATAAAAGGAAAGCCACAGGGAAACCAAAGGACAGTGCATTGGAAAAAAATGTTTAGGTGGATTAAACATCAGATGAATAAATGAATAGTAACCCACACACACTAAAGAATAAGGAAATAACAAAGCTATGTTTTTCACATACCGGTATACTCTATGGTAAAGAAATGGGTACATGGTCCATAACTAACATTTTACAACAATTTTACAACAATTTTTGAATTATTTTGTATATATAGGCCAGGAGTTATATAGCGGTTTTTCTACTTGAACTTTGAAGCGTAACGTGTCCCTTGTTTCAAATTAGAACAAAAAAGGCATATCTACACAGAAGCGAATGTTACATGCAGCATCTTGAGCTCAAGATATAACCAGTACTTTTATTGTGAGGGATGATATTATGTAAAGCTGAGTTCCCATTTGACAGAAAACAATATAACAATAATAATAATAGTCACATTTGTAAAGCGCTTTATACTATGTTTCTAAGCACTTTCCTTTTCATTATTATATCCCCGGTCATTGGATTCAATTGCTGAATAGTGAATATTTTCATAAAACATAATTTTGTATTAATAACATGACCACTAAGCTTGACAACAATAGTGCACACATTCTGCTCCCTGGGGACTATCCCGGCCAGGCGCCGTGTTACAAGCACGCCAACCCAACCACACTAGCATTCGCATCCTACCGGGTACCCATTTAACACCTGGGTGGAGAGTGGCAAATGTAGATTAATGTCTTCCCTTGTATGCCATCCACTCCTAGATCCCATGCTCTTTTCACAGGTATGGGATTAACTTTAGTAAACCAATTTAGAACAATAAATAGTTACTGTTATCTTTCTTTATCTTAATTGTTAATGTTATAGGACAACGGGAACTAGCTTTTAACACAGATTATTTGTTGTTATTAATGGACATGACCACACCACTTGACAACAATGGTTTACCCATTTTTCATCTTGAGAAGAAGTTGGGATCACACTCTTCATAAGTTAACAAGGAACGCTGTCGCCCAAAGGAATGTCTTTTCTTAGATGATCTCTTCTTTACCTTGAGTGGATGCAGACAGGATGAGAGCAAGAATATATGCACCGTGTGTGACTCAAAGCATGAAAGATGAAAGCAGTGAAATACGTAGCCAAACCCAATCTCTACGAACTGACTAAAACACAACTTGGAAGATATTGCAACTAGTTTTGCTGTAATATACAAGTATAAATAACATTACAGGTATATAGAGTGGTAAAGTGTGACATCAATATTTTTGGTTAGATTTTCCAAATTTGAACTTCATTTGCCGAAAGAGCATCAAAAATGATGTCCAAATATTGAAAACCAATTGAATATGTTCAGTATTGGCTAAATTATGAACATCCGTAATGTTATGAACCAGAGCAAAATAACAGTGATTTCCTATTGAACTCTATTTATTTGGATGGTCATTTCTCAGCCAATACTTGGACTTTATTCTTTATGCTCTTTCGGAAAATGAAGTTCAATTTGAGATATTCTTAAAATAGATTTGTATGATGTCACAGCTTAGGTACTCTATACACCACTTGCTAGTTGCTGTATCTCCCCAAATCTGGTAATAGTCAAGTCTTAGAAGGTGGTGGGTTTAAAAGTGAAGCATGTAATGTATGCACATGTATATGTAATGAAAGCAGAGGGGAAGATATTTGATATCTAGCTGAAAATAAAGATACATAAAGATACATAAAGATACATAAAGATACATAAAGAAACATTGGAAATGAAAGCCAGCAAACAATTTTACTGTCTTAGTTAATGAGCAGCACTCACTGTTTGTATCAAACTTTGCTCAGCATACCATTTCATTGAATTTCTAAATTACTTTCACCTGTTGAATGCGAAGCCAGAAATAACTTTGCCATAGATCTAGGCATTTTGAGATGCCTAAATTGGACTATTATTTCAAAATAGAATAAATTGCTTTTCTCATCAAAATTCAACTGGGGTCTTGAAAAGTGAAGTTAAGCCTGGTACCATTGTAAAGAACATGTGTAGATGAAACTGGAGCTTTTTCCCCCAACACATTTAGCATGTTTCTGCTACATATACTGTAGGTATTCATGAATAAGTATGCTTGGTTAAGTTTGATGCAAACATGTGCTACACATCACAAGACTCACTTCAATATGTATAGCAGATGCGTGAAAGTTCACATGGCACATATACAGAAATTATTCTTATTTTTACCATTTTCTTTTTTTCTTGGTGTCTTCAATCATGTTAAACGTTGTATCTCCATCCTTGTCATGTACTAAAAAATGTGATCGAGTTTATTTCAGGTTAATTTTTTCAATAATGAATCCAAATGGTTGAAAGGTTTATTTTCTGTAGCAGATTTAAAGAAAATCATGAATTGTAGGTGTATTTCAATCCTCAAGAATTGCATGGAAGAAAAATGATAAGATTTACTTTAGAAAAAAATGTTAATTATATAGAAATTTGGCTAAACATACATGTCCACTTGAGTGTTCAAATGAATGATAGAATTCATATCAAAGACAAATATTAAATAATTTTGATTAAAATATCAGCAGAAAATAATGGATTTCACTCATGTAAATTAATTTGAACTGAGAAGAAATAACTGAAGGAAAATGAGACCATGATCGTAAGAAATTTTAAATCCTTTAAATGATGCAATCAGGGCCAAAAATACATTAAAAAATTGATTCAGTGGTATTTAGAAAACTGATGTTTGAGCACAATCCTTTTTTGTTGTTCCTCGTTTAAGATGCAGATGCTTTTATGTGATCTCTCTTTTTTGTTTCACAAGTGCACCTTGAGAATACGAGATTCAAGTGGAGTAGGCACGTTACAAATCTCATACATGTATATTGTTGTTATAATTAATCATACACTTACTTCATGAGCGAGATCATTATCCTTAAGTTCTTCATAGAGGCTTTCACCGCCCAGCAAAGCATCACTAGCACCACCTTCTGTCTCGTATCTGATGATACTAGGTCAAGGATAAATCTCCACTGATGTCGAGAGTTTTACTCAAATTAAACAAATGAAATTTTATCATTGTCATTTTTAAAGGGTTTTGGGTGGGGTTGGGGGGAGGGATTATTGGCCAACCATGATTTTCGTCTTCTTTGTGCATGGCTGATAGTCACCAAAACGGAGTAAAGTCTTTTGTCAACTCTGTTGTTGCTAGGGCAGGCAGCCAGTGAAAACAAATTTGTATAATCAAATTATGAAATGCAAGCATTTCTTTAAACAAACAGAACTTTGTTATTTTTTGGCTCATTTTTCCTGATCGAGGTGTCATATGAAAGGGCAAAAAATGAACTTTCTAGAAATGTGATTTTCTCTTTGAAATTTAGATACCGCCCGCCAAATGACTTTTTGGTACCCTCTCTTCAAATTGTTTTCAATCACTCATGCATAAAATATACATCATATGAGTTGCATCAAATGAAAGAGGAGGATGTAAGCTTTACAAATATGTGTCATTTGTTAATTATAATTGTGATTAAGTTATGATAAAACATCAATAATTCTCGGTTTCATTTTTTCTGGGACGCACTGTATAGCTCTGAAGAGCTTATGTTCCAAATTACACAAAACGCACCACAGCAAAATACATACATGCATGTATTCAGTATGAGACATTTGATAGATGTTGTAATAATTGCTACAGTATGCAAGTTCACAAAAATAACATGAAGGATACTTCTTGGAGGCTTTCTTTTTCTTCTGAAATCTTCCCGCCTGCTGAAATAATTTTGTCTTAGAAGCTGAAAAAAAAAGCATGAAGATGAAATACTTTAACAACTTCCAAATCAAACAGGCAATGAAAAAGACATCCTTCTGTTTCCTAGCTAATCCCTTTTTTTAAATCCTGAAGTACGCTTTCTAGTAGCATTATCATCTTTTTTTCAACAAAATAAATTCATGTTTGATAACATTTGATGAATGAGGTTTTTCTATTGGCGATTATAGGTGATATGATAATTCTACTGCACATCAAGAATAAATGCAATTCAAGGATAGTTTTGCTTCTACAAAAAAATATAGATGGGTACCTTGCAAAAATGGTTAAAGACTTGTACAGTGCATCATAAAATTGGATGGTACTTGTAGATGTATCTGAGGGGGACTTACATTTTCCCATATGATTGAGTTTATTCCTAAAATCAATGTCTTCCACAGATAATCCTCCAGAGGCACTTGTCGCTCCATTCGTCATCCCTCTGCTACCTCCTGCACTGGAGGACGGCAAGGAAGAACCACTGCTTTCTCTCTTCATCCTGGAGGGTCTAGCAGGGAGTTCTGGACCCGGGGTAGCAGGGAGGGGGCGATTGGCCATGTCTGGTGGGGGCTGCCGGTGAACGGGGGCTAGCGAGGGGCGTGGGGGAGGAGAAATGGGTGATGGCGTAGGTGTGGCAGCTGTAGTTGGTGCTGTATTGCTTGTGGTCCGTCCCTCACGTAAAGCATCATGGTAATCTGCAACATGGAAAATAAACATATTCATGTGATTGTATGTTGATATCTTAAATCATAGGACGGATTCGACCCTGTCTGTAGAGGTTTAAACATGTACTAAAGCTGCTACGTCTTAATGAATATTATCAATTGTCTCTTGTAACACACAAATCCCATTCATCTACATGAGTCTTCAGGAGTAAAGGAGGCAGGCAAACAGAAAGAACAGCATTTTGATTAACAACATAGATGGTTTAGGAAGATGAGACAAGCACTTTGTAAAAGTATGATATTTTTCTAATCAGTAAAAAAAACAACAACATGGAAGCAGTGAGCATTTTAGCTCTAAAATGCTCAAAAAGAACCTGGGAAACTGAAGAGCTCTAGTAAAAAAAACACACCTAAAACAGTGAAGAACACCTATAAATCAATGTGACGCAATCTTGCTTGTACAACGGAAAATCCACAGACCTATCATAAAAGTATTTTTTCCATCGATCCCAAATATTTCAAATTGTTACCTCTCTCGAGTGCTGACAAGAATTCTGGGTCCTGCTGGAGCTGACGAAGGAACTCCTCATTCTGCATCATCAGTGCAAGCTTCTCATCTTCCAGCATCCGGTGGGACTCTGCATTGTTCTGACCTAGTGATCTCCGTCTGTTGGTGTTTTCATCTAATTTCTGCTTGATACCTGGAGCCATCCCAAGCTGCGACTGTACGACAAACATAAAATCATGTTATATTCACACGCCCAATTACATAATGAATAATTTGCTCCACATGCTTTGTAATGTTTCGTAATACTGTATTAAAAGCACCGGCTAAGGGCGCATAGGGACGCAGTGTCGCTTGACGCCGTGTCCATGTGCGCTCATGGCTGGTGCTTTGCTGTAAATGTTTTATGCTCATATATAGGTCTTCATAAGCTTTTTATTGTATGTATTTGTTTTCCTGTTTATGTTGTTTTTGTTGATTTGTCTAATTTCTCAATATATACATTTTGTATGTCATGGTTGGTGCCCAAACCACAAGTTTGTATTTAAACTTCTTAAGGGGCTCCTAACCCCATGTTTTTATATTTCCATGAAATATTGTATAATTATGTCTTTTTATGGTTGAAATAAATTGAATTGAATTGAAATTAAAATATTGAATTGAAACTGTGTACATCTCTATATTTAGTCTAAGAAGCACATCTGGGATAGAAATATATCCAAATGTACAAATCATTTGAAAATGCACAACATAAAAAATACATAGAGGCCTATGCCAAACAGATTGTCTTTTTTCCTTCTTCAATTAATTGGGTTTAGGCTCAAAATCGGTCTTCCAAGCAACAACACCCCATATCCCTATGTAACAAAAACAATAATGAATCCTTTTGACCCCCCCCCCCCCTCCCCTACAAAATAAATATCCAGTGATGACAATTTCTTTATATACATGTAGTTCAGTCGGTAGAGCAGTGGTCTCGTAATCTGGCGACCCGGGTTCGAAACCAAGGCGTTGCGCTAGTGCCCTTTGGTAAGGCATTAATCCTCATTACCAGGTCCCTAAGAGAGGACCTAAAGCCGTCGGTCCTCTGGTTGCTTATTAACAAGCATATATGCTTTCTTGGCAGTCAGGTAAAATAACCACCACCACCTCATGGACATAAAATAAATGCAAAGGCAAAGAAAACTCACTGTTTCAGTGGAGGGTGAAGGCGTACTTGAGGGCGAGTCTCCTCCTCCTGAAACGGACAACCTCAAGAAATCGGTAGGAAGGTTGCCCACCATAGGAGGGTTCCATTCCCTAGAGGTCTGTAGGTCCCCCATTCGCTGCATGACGTTCCTGTAGTTCTCCCTTGTGGCACTGCTGACGCTCTCCTCTCCCCCCAAGCTCTGCGTCCTCCGAGGGGCGGGCCCTGAGGAGGGGTACGTTGAACGGTGGTAGGGTCACGACTGCGAGCTACGGGTACGGGTGGTGCTGGTGTGGTAGGGGTATTGGATTGAGGAGGGGTGTTGCTGTTGAACTGTCAGGAGAAAAACAAGATTATGATTCCTTACGATTAACAATCACATTGAATTAAATTGTATCATGGCTCTATATATCAACATCATGAAATTAAATTTGTAACCTTGCTAATCGTATCATTCATATGTCTTTGCCACACCCTCTGCTGAAAGTGAAAATCCAAAACACAAGCTCAAGTAAACATTAGGGACTTTTAGAATGAGTGGACGAGAACACGACGAACGCCGACTGATCATGCGTGTCAACGTACTTAACTGCCCATGTTGACTACAATTAGAAATCTTTTAGATTGCACTCGACGATATATATACATGCATGCAGGAATTAACACTATGAATATCACGGACAAAGAAAGAGGACAAAATATACAGTTCCTCATTCTACACTCAACAAAAGAACATCCCTTCACTGCTATTAATATGTAAAAATGTGTAGAACAGGTGAATATGCATGTGACACCTGTTCTACACATTTTTACATAGCAGGGAAGGGATGTTTCTTTGTCTACCTGAGGAACTGTATATTTTATGAGCACGCGGCATACTAGTACCTTGAGCATGTAAAGGCGCTAAATAAATATCAATATGTATGTATGTGTATGTACAAGATTTAGGAAAATCAAGGTTGACGCATTCTCGATCGCCGACTGAGACGACGTAACGCATGCGCAGTGCCTTAAAATGACGTCACACGTTGCAGTCAAAGCTGTTGACGTGCAAATCTAAAAGTCCCTATTCTACTAACTAAGACAACATACATGTACCTCCTTGAATCAGTTATTCATAATAATTTTTATTTCACGCATCTACCCATTTTGGGGGATCCTCAAAATGCTTAGGGCTTAGAGCGACTAGTATTACCCTGGTCTTAGCCAATCTGCCATTAATAAAGTGCTGAAATCATTCAAGGAATCGCTTATTACCATGTATCCATGAACTTGACCTGGGTTGGGGCAACAAATGTAACTATATACCTTGTCAAAAGTACACCTTTACCGGAAAGAGTTCTTTGTAGAACATACCCTGCTTTCACACAGGAGAAAAATTCCTTAAAGCTTATTAGTTTAAATAGCTTTAAACTAATCAGCTTAACATACAACATCATTCACACACACAGAAAATTGGTTGCATTCGTTTAGAGATTCACTGCTCTTAAATTCACAGTAAGACCTTTGTGAGGTTACTATCAGGCAGATTGGTGTATAACCGTTCACACACAAAATGTCTTGCCTCTCAGAAACGGACATCGTATCTGCAGCCTGCTCTGACAGGCGTATAGATCGCCAGTTCGTATCTGTCTGAACATCGTATAAACGACGTTCACACAGGGAAAATTTACTTTAAAGTTGTTTAGTAAAAGAGTTTTAACTAAACAGCTTTACATGTAGATACAATTAATTTTATCCTTGTGTGAAACGGCTGATACTCACCCTAGAGAATGGACTGTCTGCTTCCGGAGGCGAGTAAGGAGGGGGCTCATCTAGGAAATTACCTAACATCTGCAAGGAAAAGGAAAGGGTTACATTCACATTTGAAGTGTCACATATAACTAGATTGTACACAGGTAAATTGTAAATGGTGTAACACAATCGAATGCCCTATTATGCGTTAACCCGTCGTCTATGAGAACTGTGTGGTCCCTGTATTAAGACTATTAGAATTAGAAAATCCAGTAGACATTGGGTTAATAAAAAAATGAAAAAAATGTGTCATTTCAAAACACCTTCATATAGTATTATTTCCCTTAAGAATAATACAAAAAGTATAATGCAATTAGACAAAATGACTACACACTAAATATGGAATTATGGAACTACAGCTGTAGAGGCTCATCTTATGAAAGAGCATCTCTTCTTGACCTGTCTTTTTTTTTTTGTTATTTAATAATCAGAGCACTTTTTATAATTAATAATGATACAATGTATACAAATAAAGCAATACAAGTTTAAATTCCAGATGAATGAAAATGATAAAGAGGGCAACTCTGATCAATGTGTCCAAAACAACATGCGTTTTTTTAAAATTTCTTTCATCCAAGAATGAAGAGTCTCTTGTTAATAATGTCAGTGGTCCCAGAGAACACAATTAGTAATGGTCATACAAAGAGATATTCATTTGAGATGAATATATCAAGAAATATTCATTTGGGATGAATATATCAAGAAATATTCATTTGGGATGAATAAGTCAAGAGATTTTTTATTTTGGATGAAGTACTGTACATGTACATTTGTAGATGGGAGCACATCATATGTTGTACGGGAGATATTGTCACCTAATTTAGGATAAATCCAACTAAGGATATAGTCTACAATTAATAAGAGTCCAGTAAGGATCACTTTGATAGATACAACCAAAAGAACGGAGGCATGGAAGTTGAAAAATGAGGTGATAAAAGATACCCGTTTCACAAAGCCTTCTTTCAATGACAAATGACTAAAATCAATGACAAATGACTAAAATCAGTGACAAATCTGCTGATAACCAATCAGAAGCAAGGATTTCAGTAGCTTATAACAGAAACTGTCATTTGTCACTGATGACAAGTTTTGTGAAATGCCCCCCCCCCCCTGATCTTCGCTTTAATACCTCTGGTGGAAGCTGTGAAGGGGGTACAGGGAAACCGGTTGAGGGCTGCATAACAGGTGGTGGTGGTGGTGCTGGAGCAGTCTCAGGTATATCAGCGTTAAGCTTCAACAGCTGATCGATCGTCTCATCTACCTTGCCGCTGTTAGACCTCAGAACGGTCTCAATCACAGCTAGATCCATGTTTGGAAACATGCCCTGTAGGGAGAGACAAAGAGAGAGATAAACTACTTGAGTAATCACACTGACCTTTTACCATTAGAGTGGGACTGCTCTACTTACTTGCGCCCTCTTAAGAGCAAACAATGCCTAAGCAGTACCTGTTGGTCCCCCATAATCCCCTTTTTTAAATGTTAATTGAGAGCTGATTTGATGAGATAACCAGCTGGCAGTGACCATGCAGGCAGGTACATGTATAATCCCTCCTGGCCAAACTGGTGCAGACAGGCTTTAAAAAAAAAAAAAAAAAATTGTATGGCTAGAGACTATAGATTCAACCCTCCAAAGTTAACTCTCCAAACTTAACCTGCCATTCAGTAGTTTAAAAATTAAGAAATAAGAAGAAAATAGAGGATAACATAACATCCTGGGCATGGAACCCAAGTCTGATTTGCTTTCTGTGCAGGGCCATTTCCCTGCAAGTATGTACACTTTCATTGACTAGTCTAGATACCCAAACAACTCATTATTTTATTTACTGAGATAACATTTTGATTGCAATATCTCTTTGTCGAAGTTTCATTTCAAGCTCATATTGTAAATATAGTATAGCAAAATGCATGTACATGTAGAAAAGAAAAGCATCAACCCCTGAATTTACTCTAAAGAAATAAGCATTGTAGCACCCACATAGAGCCTTAGAAGTTAGAGTGAACAGCTAATTGAAATAAATATTTTGCTCTGTACATGTACGTGTATAGAGGGTTCTATGGCACTATGCTTAATTCAAAACATGAAATTCTATAAGGAGATATTAGATACACAAGTTACTCGAGCATAGATTTATCCATGCTAATATTGACACTCACATAGACATACATTTGTAAAGACCAACTTTATCCAATAACTTATCTTTTTAGGTGACTTGTAAGATTTCAATTCTTAGTGATGAAAGTGACCTACATGTAAGAAGTAAATAGCACAAGGGCTTATATTATAGAAGTGGTTGTATCAAATATTGACATTAAAACACAACAAAACAAATTATCTGACCTTGAAGTCAGCCATCGCCTGACTAAAGTCCAGTTGCCTCTGAGGTGGTGGCTGTTGTGGCTGCGGTTGTGGCTGCAGTTGTGGCTGCTGTTGTGGCCTCTGTGGTAGTGGCATCATGGGTTGGGTCGGGACTGCCATCCTGGGAACACCCCCTGCAGGGAAGGGAGCAGGGTATCCACTCGGGGTCTGTAATGGGTACCCCTCAGGGGCGTAAAGTCCTGGTTGCACGGGGTAACCTGGCAGTTGCACCGGCATGGCGGGGTTGGTAACCGTCTGCGTTGGTGGTGGTCCGTACGAGATCGTGTTTGGGGACGAGACGACGGGGGCGCTGTGCCTCTTCTTCTTGTTCTTCTTGCTGCTGGACGACCCTCCAGCGGAAGCCATTTTGAAATGGGTGAATACCTGGACTCAAAGTTTAAGAAACTGTTTCCACTTGCTAATACGTGTAGCTCTATTCTTCCTCAATAATGACACTTCATGAACATGTGTGCTAAATCGACATGCACAGCTGCAAAACAAAAATCACTTTCACCATTCCCAGTTTCCCACATCACCTAATGTTTATTAAACTACACTCAAGATTCTTATTTTCACCAACCAAACAAGTTATGGAAACATGTCAGGGCTCCGTCATGAATTTAATCATCATCTTCTACTTCGTGTTTTCATTATCTGTATCACAAACTACAACAAAATCCGCTCAAAATCATGAAGTACTTCTTCACTTTTCCGTTTCCCCTATTCTTGGGTTAGGTGCCTCTAAGCATCTATTTGTAGGGGTCTGCGTGCATCCAGATGATGTGTCCTACTGTGCAGACTATTTGAAATGATCTCAATCGGTCTCCTGGGTCATATCATACTTGTAGGAATCATCCTTAAGGCATCAAAGTTTCATGTAAACCTGCAGTGAGGGAGAGGAAGAGAAATGAAATATTATAATATCCAATTATCCATTCAGTTTATCGTTTAATATGGTATGAAGACCATATATTATATAACAAGCAGTAACGACACATAAAAAAAACCATGATCATAAGCATGCCAGAGATTACTTGTTCATGTAATATTCATGATGCCTCGATGGAAGAATGAGGATATGATCAAACTATAGGAGCAACTCAAAATTTGCAGTATTTGTTTAAAGTGGCTCATCTGTGTTAATATACTGTATGTACCTACATATGTACTTATATGCACCTTCAAAGCCATTTAGAGTGGCAACTAGCTAAATGAAGAATATCTTGCAACATGATTTTAAGTTCTATGTATGCTGTATGGGGCTTAATTGAACCCATAACTTTCCATCTCAAGTCAAGTTCCATGTTCATACCACTGAACTACATGTATACTTTACTCCATACAGATAATGGAGAGTTTTAAAAAAATGAACATGAATGTAGATTAAAATCTTACAAGGGCTATTTACGTGTGTGATGCGCAGCCGGGTCAGAGATAAAAGCCCATGAGCTTAACCTGTGTCCTATTAAACCACTCAACCACTACATGCCTACAGATTAATAGCACAGAAGTACAAAAAGTACAAATATTGTGTTTATTACAATCCCTCACCATGACAAAAAATATGCTGTACAAAATGTCCAAATTCCACAATACCTTACATGTAAATCAGTGTACAATGCTTTGCACAGCTACAGTACATGTCCTGGCAAATATGTATGGATATACTCAAAAGTCAATGTACATACATGTACATGTCCGGACTACAGGACAGCATTTAATGCAATCTTGTGTCACTCAAGCCATGATAAGAAGCAATTTCAAATCAATACTACAGTACATGTTTCCTTGCATCTTTTGGCTCACAATTAAGATACATTTCGTCATACCACTTGGTGCCGAAGGTACAGAGTGCCGCGGCAGCATTGGTTTTTAGAGTCAATATAGAGCATGACATGCATGCTAAATATGGACCTGCATTTATATACTGGCTGATAAAGACACTGCATGTGCAGTTGTACATGTACCATTGTATCATACATGTAAACTGTAACTGTGAGCACCAGACGTATGTACAAATCCTGCATCCGTGTTATCAAAGTAAAATGAGCCCTCGAGGGTCAAAGTAACAATTTAAAGGCACAGAATTAACCTCAGGGTGTGTCATATCTGTTCCAAATTCAAATAACACTGAGTGATACAAAAATACAATTACAAGATTTTTACATGGATACTATTATTTAAATGCTGTATATGTCGGAAATTCCTGTAACCCAACTACCGCATGACTATGGTATCTTGACTAAGTTATATTTGAGTATAATAACATGATGGATGTAAAAAGATTCCTATTCCTATTTGTACATTGGTTGCATACATTCAAATGCATTATCATTCATTATGTACAGTACATTGTAAGCAAACGCCCACTTTTTATATACCGGTACAATTATTAAGCATGACCTGAGTAAAATAATTGCACTTATCAAAACATAACTAATGTTATTGTGGTCTACTATTAAAGATAAACATGTGTATATCATGTAAACATGCCAATGTTGATTGCATACAAACATGTTTGCTGTCGACAAGTACATGTACATATCTAAAAAAATTATACTAGTGTCTAAATGCATCTCTGCCAGTAGTCTGAAGAAATTACATGTATGATTGCACAATATAATCCACCGTAGGGACTCTTTAGGGAGTGCCATTCAATTGCAACGTGCAGTGTATTGTAGCATACAACAATAACTATTGTCACCTTGACAGTATTTACCCAAATCCATGGGCCAAGACAGAAATGAAATATTTAGCAACATACATTAGCTCTCGACTCATTAAATACTGAACTTAATTACTTTTATTGCATTTATGATCATGTTGTGAATGTCAATAAATATGTCAATGGGATACAAATCACAGGAAATAAATCAGCCATCGTTTTGATTTTCTCCAAATTATAGTTCCAGAAGCCTTGAGCTACATGCAGTATGTATTATTTAACCATCCTGTCAATAATGCGTATTACAGGGTTGGGCGGTAAATACCGGTGGCAGTAATTACAGGCGGTAAATACCGGTAAATACCGTCCAGTAAATAAGATGCGCGTCCGGTAAATATGTAAAAAATGGGAAATATTATTTTAATTCTCTATTTATTAATAATTTTACTTGTTTTTAGCCTCATAACTGAAAATATTGTTCTGAAATAATTAGCAGCACAATACTCATAGTAGGAACACACAAACAGATTTATAAAATCCTCACTGCATACATGTACACACCCCAACAAATGGCATTTTGTTCATATGCTAATTAATAGGTATTCATGAATATGGTAATTAGCAACTGAGGATCAAAACCTTCATACAAGTTACTTTTATTGTAAAGTTTAAGATATTTGAATAAAATCAGTGAAAAAATTAACAAAATCGGGCAAGGAATATGGAAGTTAAAGCTTTTTGAAATGACTAGACACTAGAGGGCGATATTCGATTTGATGATCATTTGTGGACAACTCTCCATGCCTTTTGTACATAAAATTTCATGTTTTTCCTTCTTCCTTGTGATTGAGATAATAGAATGCAAAATGATATTCTACTTCACATGTTATGAAATCCGATCAAGAACACAAATAAATAGGAAATCGCCCTCTAGTGACTAGTTATTTTAAAAAGCTTTAACTTCCTAATTCCTTGCCTGATTTTGTTCAATTTTTCACTGATTTTATTCAAATATCTTAAACTTTACAATAAAAGTAACTTAGTATGAAGGTTTTGGTTCCCTTTAATGAAGAACATCATATCTGGATTAGGTGTATATTTGGTATCTTTTTCCTGTATTTTTTTCCAGCATGACATAATTACAGACATAGACAAACACACAGACAAACACACAAATAGTACACACAAGAGCAACCATACTCACCACCATTGTTATTATGTTAAAAATTGGACAATCCCTAATCCCTATGAACAAGTGAGTGGAAAAATATATTTCCCAGTATTTCCCGGTAAAAAGTGGTAAATACCGGTAAAAAGCGGTAAATACCGGTAAATACCACTTATTTCCTGGCGTCCGGGAAATAAGCCTCCGAAGCGGGAAATATGCCAACCCTGGCGTATTATCAAGGCAAAATAATTATGAAGGCAAAATAATGTAATATAACAGGTCATACATGTACATATATATATATATACGTGTATATGGTAAAACTGGCTTGCTTCAGCGACCACCTGTATTGAATCAAAAGACCACATTTTAATTAAAACCACAATTCATGTTGTTTCTCACTAAAACATGTATGTACACATAAGAGCCTGTATGTAAAGACCACCTGCATTTAAAGACTACCTTTCTTGGTCCTTGAATGGTCTTTATATACAGGTTTTAATGCCTTAAAAACACCTTGCTAAGTTCGCTTTTCATCTAGAAGTGTAACTGTTAGTCTGTTCTAAAACATGCATGTATATGCCACATTGTACACAAAGTTCTATTCTCTCTTATTAGACTTTGAACAGGCTGAAATCAAGCAATATTTGTTTTCATATGCATGGAATTATTCATTTCTGCAGACTATACAAACTCTGTACAAGGCCGGCAAGAACAAAGAGTTTTTTTTTTTTTTAAATCCCATTTTCCAATAACCCTGAAGCAAAATTATGAGCAGAATTTCTTAAGAAGTACATGTAATACCCGGTACTACACTTAAATTTGTTCAAGACTTTATGCCATTACATTCATATCATGTGCACATGTGACCTGGCACCACAAGACCAACAAAAAGTTACCAGATATGACTTCTTTTTTTTTCTATTTCAGTACTTACAGTACATGTACTATAAAAATGTTAGTATTATTTATTTTGGTACTTACATGTATTATAAATGTGAGTAGATTCTCAGCTATAAAATGATAGAACTAATCATCTCAATTGGATGTTCCAAACCCAACGGACGGAAGGGAAAAACAGCATTTTTTGAGAAAAAGGTGTTTGAGATTCTCAGCTTTAAAATGACATAATAAATCATCTCAATTGGATATTCTAAACCCAATGGACGGAAAAGAATAACATCATTTTCAAGAAATAGGCATTTAAACTTTAAAGTCTGTTGTCTACATGTAATTCAGATTTTCAACACTACATATACCTACATGTAGTCTCTGACTCTGAAGTTATTGTGTAAGGTGATAAAAGGAAGATTGGAACTTAATAGACAAATTTCTGTGCATTGATTATCAATGTTATCCTTTAACTTGGCAGACATTAAGCGCACCCTGTTCGTTCTTTTGACCAAGTATCAATACAACTGGTTACTCTTTGTCACAGTTACACATGTAGGAGATAAAGACCAGAAGCCAGGACCAGGGTATATATTTAACAATATGAAAATTACTACAACAAGCTCAAGATCAGACAAACATACATGAACAGTACATGTACAGGTGTAGATCCCCATAACACAACAAATACAATTGTTACTTGTTACATGTAGATTGTTTGTTGCTTCAACATTTTGAAATTACAGTCAATACTTTATGGCTAAAAACTGAAATCTGACCGTCCTGACCAAATAAACATTTTCCAAGCTGTAACTGAAAATCACATCATATCCGACTACCATATTTGGTGGTTTTTAGTGCCTGGGGGGTGTTTCAACCATTTACTGGCATTAGTTTCTCAAGGGACATATAAATCATGGTAAAAAAATCTACAGAATTACGGTTTATAATAATTCATTAATGAAGGAATTTTTTTAATCTACATTGTAAGTATCATAATGGTGAGAGCAACCAGTGGCATGAATGGCTTGCAATATTTAAGTCTTCTTCTTCCTTTTTGAGTACAGACCTCTTTACAGAGTATTATCGTAATATACTGGGGGTGTGTGCAGGTGGCCACGTACATGTACACTGGGGTTTCCCCCTACTCTTATACGAATAGTGCTGTGGGTTCTTAGCGTGCAAAGGTACTTGAAGTGACTCTTCTCTACACGGGGCCTCCATTTAACGTCCTATCTGAGGGACGGAGTGTTTTCCACTTAACATAACCTTAAAGTCGATCTTACATCTTTGTGAACCCCCCCCCCCCCCCAGTCACACAATTTACTTCAATTTCATAAAGTCTTCAACTGAAAAGCTTATTTAAAAATGACAGGATTTAATTAACTTCAATCAGCAGTCAATACTTGAAAAAAGGAAAAGATGAGAAAAATATTTTGAAGCATGAGCTTCTATCCAAATGTGGGCCACTATTCAATGCAGAATTTGCACAAAAAAATTTCTGGTTTCAATCAGATGAAGCAGCACTTACACTGGAAGAAGGAGAAGGAGAAGAAAGAGAAGAAGGAGAAGGAGAAGAAAGAGAAGAAGGAGAAGAAGGAGAAAGAGAAGAAGAAGGAGAAGAAGGAGAAGAAGGAAGAGAAGGAGAAGAGGAAGGAGAGGAAGAAGAGGAGGAAGAGGAAGAAGAGGAAGAAGAGGAAGAAGAGGAAGAAGAGGAAGAAGAGGAAGAAGAGGAAGAAGAGGAAGAAGAGGAAGAAGAGGAAGAAGAGGAAGAAGAGGAAGAAGAGGAAGAAGAGGAAGAAGGGGAAGAAGGGGAAGAAGAGGAAGAAGAGGAAGAAGAGGAAGAAGAGGAAGAAGAGGAGAGGAAGAAGAAGAAGAAGAAGAAGAAGAATAAGAAGAAGAAGAAGAAGAAGAAGAAGAAGAAGAAGAAGAAGAAGAAGAAGAAGAAGAAGAGAAGAAGAAAAGAAGAAGAAGAAGAAGAAGAAGAAGAAGAAAAATAAGAACAACAACAAGAAAAGGAAGAAGAACAAGAACAAGAACAAATAACAAAAAGAACAAATAAAAGAACAAGAACAAGAACAAAAAGGAGAATGAGAAAGGGAAGGAGAACGATAATTAGGAGAAGCCAGAATGAAAAGAACAAACACAACAAGAACAACAAAAACAACCACAATGAGGAGGAGGAGGAGGAGGAGAACAGAAAGAAAGAAGAAGCATGAGAAGAAGACAAAGAAGAAGACTGCAATAAATTGACCATCCATTCTGCGGTTTATACTGGCATTAAATTTGGTAAGACCTAAATAATGCCTCCAGCTCCACTCACACTGTAATTTGAAAGTAAATTTGAATTTCAATGAAAAAAGCCCTATATTCACCAGCACAACTGTACCAGTAAATGCATAAACACACTTGCATGTAAAACGGTAAACATCACACGCAACCATGCATACTTCACATGCACAGCTGAGTCTGACCAAATGACGATAACAATGAAATGAATGAAGTAGGCTACATGTTGATTCGTGAACTGAACACAAACACAGTAACAAATGAGTGAATTTGTGTTTCACAATAAAGTCGAATTCATTGGCAATATCGTGTTTTATTCGTATTCTTCTACGTTGAAAAGTTTCAAGTATTAATATCAAATAAAACATTAATAATTTCAAAATGGGTTAACTTACATCCTGGTTGACCTGATGCCTTGGCGATGGAAATGTCGTTAGCCCATCGGCGCCATTTGCTTTGACAGCTGACATGTACTTATACCGTACGTACACCGCGGAATCCACCAAGCTTCCGCTTGAGCTTGGTCTGAATCCGGAAGAACAATACCAAAAGCAAGTGCATCGCTCTGATCTGCACCGTACCGGTACCCTGCGTCGCGCACAAAGCATGAGGAGTTGGATCGGGATCTGGACGGGAGTTCCCCCACACATCGAAATCCCCGTCACAAACCCTTGTCCCAAATAATCGCAAACCGGCGGGTAAATTATTATTTTGGGGGCTGGATCTGGTATGTTTAATCCTAAGAAAGTTAATTCAATCTAATAAACTTTCTTCTTCCACAGTCACCGTCGATCTAGCTTACATCGGCAGGCCAGTTTTGAAAGGGCCCGGGGAAGGGGGTGATTTTGTCCCCACCCCAACTGACAAATTCATAACCAAGAAGGAGAGAAAAAAAGAAGTAGAAAAATATTTTTAATGACAATGTGATGTTGGTAAAAGATTGAGGTCACTGGGATGTGGGAGAAGCGGGAATCTGGGACAATTCATCCTATAACTAAAAAAGAAATAAATCTCTTACACATTTGTTGGATCATCATAATACAAAATGGTTTGTCAATGTAGCACAACTTATTTTCATTTATTTTTGACGATTCTCTTTTTTTTTTTTTTTAGCTATGACTCTTCATAGATCTGATATGATACAAACTTTTGATTTTGTTAATGATGAAAAGCAAAATTATTGGGTATTTTTTGTTCGTATTGGGAGTTCTCCCCTTTCACCCCAGTTACATTCTGTCTATGTTAGGCACATGATTTAAAAACAGTCATAACTCGACGTAGGTATAGAAGGACAACCATGCACAGTGGCGGATCTAAGGGGGGGGGGCACAGGGGGCACGTGACCCCCGGCCAAAAAGAAAAGAAAAAAGAAATTATTGCTCACATAAAGTTAGGTCTATTCGTTCATTCTAAATACGACCAGACAAACCTGTGTGCCTATAACGAACCCAGTATTGTTTTAAGAATCAGACCAGTGTTAGGCTAAAATAATGTTGAGTTTAGCCAACAGCTGACCCCAAAAATATTGATTTAGCAACACAAAAAAATACGATATACGGTTAGGCCATCTTTACAAGAGACCCGGAAAGTCTACTATATTTTACAGTGGATATCTCCTGCATGCACTAATTATTTTGCAACAATCACGCGTAATTTAGTGGTGATTTAAGCATTTTTGTTTTTCCCCCACACTGTAAAAAAATAATAGTCGAAATAACTCAATAAAATTGAGGAAAAGAATTGCCTTATTTTTATTAAGTAAATATTACCTACGGCATCTTAAGTAGAATTTACTTATTTTGCTGAATAAATTTTTACTCAGTTAAATCGAGTTACATTAACGTAAATAATTTAAGTATTGTAATCATTTTAGATCATGGGTGGCCAACCTTTTAAAGCTCGCGGGCCACAGCTAACGATTGGCATAAATTGGCGGGCCATAGGTAGTCTTCTCCCCCCCCGAAAAAAAAACACTCATGCAATACGTGTACACACCTGCAATTTTGCAAAAACAAGCAAACAACAAAATCAGTGGAAATATTTTTTCATTGAACGCGGTGCATGCAAAGAAAATGGGACTATATCCAGTTTACGATTAAGATTTGATGAGAAAATTCAACGGCGGGAGAAAAGGGCTGTATAAGTTTCAAGACAAGTATGGCATTTCAAACATATTTCTCGTTTCACAAGATTAATTTGTATATGTACAAACTGAAATAAACACGGTTCATGTTCATGTCGGGGGGGGGGGGGGTATACTCAGATTTGGTTTGGACGGGGGTGTGCCGCTCAAGCCTCGAAACCCCTACCCATTATTAGGGGTCATTTTTCTCGAAAAAAGACCCATTTTCCACAGTTTACGGGTGATTTCCGGATGTTTTTCGGGTGTTTGCGAGGCAAACGCCCGAAAATTTTGAAGAAACGGACCCATTTTTCATGGTATTTTTGTTAGAAGTGGGACGCATGTTTAGGGATTTTTTGTGTGATAAAGTCACCCATTAGAGCGGCACACCCCCGTATTTATGTGAGTACCCCCTCCCCCCCCCCCCCGAGTGTTAATGTCGTTAATGTAATGTAATGAGAGGAAATTTGAGGAGTTTTGTATCAACCAAGTAACTATTTTTGTTAGTAATGGGACCCATGTTTAGGGATTTTTTTGTGATAAAGTCACCCATTAGAGCGGCACACCCCCGTATTTATGTGAGTACCCCCCCCCCCCCCCCCTCGAGTGTTAATGTCGTTAATGTAATGTAATGAGAGGAAATTCGAGGAGTTTTGTATCAACCAAGTAACTATTTTTGTTAGTAATGGGACCCATGTTTAGGGATTTTTTTGTGATAAAGTCACCCATTAGAGCGGCACACCCCCGTATTTATGTGAGTACCCCCCCCCCCCCCCCCCCCCGAGTGGTAATGTCGTTAATGTAATGTAATGAGAGGAAATTCGAGGAGTTTTGTATCAACCAAGTAACTATTTTTGTTAGAAGTGGGACCCATGTTTAGGGATTTTTTTGTGATAAAGTCACCCATTAGAGCGGCACACCCCCGTATTTATGTGAGTACCCCCCCCCCCCCCCCCCCCCCCCGAGTGTTAATGTCGTTAATGTAATGTAATGAGAGGAAATTCGAGGAGTTTTGTATCAACCAAGTAACTATTTTTGTTAGAAGTGGGACCCATGTTTAGGGATTTTTTTGTGATAAAGTCACCCATTAGAGCGGCACACCCCCGTATTTATGTGAGTACCCCCCCCCCCCCGAGTGTTAATGTCGTTAATTTAATGTAATGAGAGGAAATTTGAGGAGTTTTTTTATCAACCACGTAACGATTCAATATGTTGTGAATGATGGGAACAAATTATGGAAATAGAGATGTTTGTAAATGTTTTACCCTATTTCATCGCTGGTATGCGGGCCGAATTTCATTCATGAGCTATTTTTATTATCACTTCTTCAATGCTCCGCGGGCCGCACCAGAAAAGCTCGCGGGCCGCATGCGGTCCGCGGGCCGCGGGTTGGCCACCCATGTTTTAGATAATTAAATAAAAGCTATGATAGGATTACATATTGCACGATTTGGTACCCATCTACAAGTAACATCCACTAATCATTCACTACTTCTATTTAAGATTTAACCGTATATACATATATCTACCACCATCACAAACTATTACATACGCTTCAATTCGACACATATTGAAAGGCTCCAAATTTTATATATACTTGATCGTAGCATCTTAAAAGGAAAATTGGTTGACAATTTCCTGAAATATCAAGTTTTGATTTGTTTTGAACTGGGTAACAATTACAAATTGTCTTGTCTTTGCTTAGCCATGTTAAATGAATTAGTAAATGTTTTAAAGTCCTTAAATTTTCATTCAACCACAAAAAAGAATTGTTTTATTTAAAAAAGAGTTTAATTTGGTCTTAATGAATATTCATAAATTATGTAAATATTTCTATTACGCACTGCATCGGTCCTTACTTTAAAAAGATAAGAATAATCAACATAAATTGTTTGAGTAATACGTATAATTTCTGATTTTGAGTTAAAATTACTAAATTAATACAAGCTGAAATTACTTAAAGTTCTTATGTATTTGATTTTACTTAAATATTCCACGTATGTTATACTAAATTGAAAGTTTGAGTTAGCAAGACTTAAATTTAGTGCGTAAGTGGCAAAACTAATGTTTTCAAGTAAATTCTACATGGAAAAAATACGTAAAAATTACCAATGAACAAATTCTTTTTTACAGTGCACTTAAACTTCACCCAAAGCTTTCCAGGTTACCCGAGCCTTCCGAGGGATGTCCAGTTTCTCCTCCTTTCAACAAAACAAAAACCTAAAACGACTTGGAGGGTGTCTTATATGTTATGTTGCCTTATATTAGTATTGGTAGTACATATACCGTACAAATAATTATGGAGAGGCCAAAATGAATATCTACAAATTTACAAAGTAAATTCTCTCTGCCCGGTCATGAATAAGCTGAATTTAAAGTTAGTGTATAGCGGATCGGGACCTTTGGGGTATCTATTGGGTATGTTCTAACATTTGGAGCACACTTCTTAATTCTTATAATGTTGATATAAAAAAACCGATTCAAGTTTTTTTAAAACATACAAAATGATACTTCATGCACCTAAATAATGCACTTATCCAAAAAGGTAAACTGTCAAAATGTAAAGAAACAACATCCCAACACTTTAAAGGGGCTTTTACCTGCCCCGTTACACGGAGAAGGAAATGTGATTTTATTGTCCGACTGATGTACGTTACTGGTTCAGATGTTTTGCGACCTTTCCCTAAAATCATACTTTCGGATCATCCATTTTTGTAAGTGATTTCTTCTTATGCAATAATTAAGCAGCTACATGATACAATGACAGCTGGTGTGTGTGGGAGGGGGTGATGGGGACTGGATCACCGGGCAGGGGTTATTTGTATGCCTCCTTGGGGGGGGGGGGGGGTACTCAGATTTGGATTGGACGGGGGTGTGCCGCTCAAGCCTCGAAACCCCTACCCATTTTTAAGGGTCATTTTGGTAGAAAAGGGTACCCATTTTAGGGGATTTTCTCGAAATAAAGGCCCATCATTTTTTTTCACAATAATTGTTGGATGTAGGCCTATGCCACGCAAGCACCCTAAAATTTGGAACTTTTGAAAAACGGACCCATGTTTAGTGATATTTTTGTTGAAAATGGGACCCATGTTTAGGTATTTTTTGTGTGAAAAAGTGACCCATAAGAGAGGCAAATCCCCGATATGTCTTAATATGTGAGTATCCCCCCCCCCCCAACCCGGGGTATTCCTATGCTTTTTTTAAAGGTCCATGTGGGCCTTGAGGGAACATTGTTAGGCCCTCAAGGACAAGTTTAGGTCCGATATGCCTACTTTTGATTTGATCGATTTAAGCTACATAGAATTGATGTATCAGTTTCGTGTAAATTATAATATTGTGTTAATATATTTTT